AATGTAGACATCGCCGGGGGCGACGGCACCGGCACGAGCGGGAGCAGCGACACGGTTGGCGAGGATCTTGTCACGGGTCTCCTTGAGGTCGGCGTTGGTGAAGACGAAACCGACGTTGCCTGTACTAGTGTCAATGCTGTGCGCGAGCGTCGCGTGAATTGGAAGACGTACCCTTGACGTGGGGAAGGAGACGCTCGTACTCGGGAGAGTCGTTGATGAGACCCTTCAGAGCACGGCGGACCATGGTGTTCTTTCCCATGAGAACGACACCCTCGCCGCGGAGCGACTGGCGGATCTCGTGCATCTGCTGGGACGAGACATTGTCGACGGTGACGATGAAGATGCTCTTGTACTCCTTGAGGAGCTGCTCGAGCTTCTCGAAGTAAGCGGCCTTGGTTTCTTTCTTGCCCCCCATTGTGTTCTGCGACCCAAAGGGATGTTTAAGGTCTTAGTTTGGTGTTGTTGATGGTTTGAGGAAGAGAGGGAAAGTTCGGCCGGCGAAAATCGAGGTTGTCTGCTGTGGGTGGCCCCTGCTCGCCTAACGCGCTAGCGCATTTGGGGCCTCACAGAAAAGTATCATCAACTCCACGAGGCCGTGTCCAACGCAGACATCATGACAGTTCCGTATCAGTGCATTGTAGCGCGAAGCTCCGAGTCTTTAGATGACTGGACTGTGTTTGCTGCGAGCGGCTCCAAGATTGTAGTTCAATCCAGCCGCGGGTCAGTGACGACATGGCCACAGCAACACGCCCAAATCGAAGTGAGTGACGGCGTACTTATTGTGATTTGTTAATGTTGTGGCGTTGGATTGGTGGTCGAAGGAGTTGCGCATCGCTAATATGAGCAGGATCAGCAGGAGGGCGACTCCGAAGAGCGACCAGGAAAACGCATCAAATTGGAACAACCGAAAGAGCAAAAGTCGAATTTCGCCAGTCTCATCCTCTCGAATGATGGACAATACTTGGTTGGCATCACTGGCGAAGATAAATGTGTTCGCGTCTTCCAGATCGATGCTCAGAGCCAGCTGCACCAGTTGAGTGAAAGGTAAGAGGCGCACGTTATTGAAAGGTTCGAAAATTGACATGATCAAGGTGCATGTCAAGACGGCCTTGCTCAATCACCCTCACGTCTGACGATGCAACCATATTGTGTGCAGACAAGTTTGGCGATGTTTATGCATTACCACTTCTCCCCTCGCCTGATGACGACAAGGTAGAAGAGCTGCCCGAGGCACCAGCAACTGAAGAGGCCGATGAGAAAGAATGGATCCCTTCCGCTACTACGCTCACTGTTCACTCTGGCAGGAATCGAAAGACTCTTGAGGAGCAGTTGAAACGGAAAGCGAAAGGCCCGGCGAAGCCCAAGGAGACTATGCGATTCAAGCACGAGCTGCTCCTAGGCCACGTTTCTATGCTCACAGATGTCGTCTATTCTCAGGTAGACAGGCGGGGCTATATCATGACAGCAGACCGGGACGAGCACATCAGAATATCACGAGGCCCACCGCAAGCGCACATCATAGAGGGATTCTGCTTCGGCCACGAAGCGTTTGTGAGCAGGCTTTGCCTCACACAGTCTGGTCTACTTGTGTCTGGCGGTGGCGACGATCACTTGTTTGTATGGGATTGGCAGAACTACCTCTTGAAGGAAAAGTTGGCCATCCGTGATCTTGCCTTCACTTATCTCCAGGAGCGTGGCATTATCCCAGCAGGAGTAGATTTGGCGACGTACAAGATTGCGGTTTCTGGAATATGGAATCTACCAAACAAGGACGGTGTAAGTACCATGAAGACCTTGACTTTGTTTGTCCATCATCTGACTCTTGATAGGCCGAGACAGTTGTTGTGGCATGCGAAGGAGTACCAGCGCTGTTCAGCTTGAAAATAGATGCATCCGTACCAGGCTATGCCATTCCACTGGACGGCAACGCGCTGGACCTTGCCATCATCCGCACGTCTACTGGTCCTTTGAAGTTGGCTGTGTCCATAGACAACATCCAGAAGCCAGGCTCAACCACCGAAGTTCGGGAAGACACGGTAAGCTTCCTCAGAAGCTTCTCATGGACGATAGCTAACATGTCGAACAGGCACCAAGACTGCAATACTTCGCAAGACAGCAAGACGGTACATGGCACGCTGATGCAGAGCTCGCAGAGACGTTGAAGAGTTTCGACCAAGGTGGTGACGACCGACTTGCAGATGACAAAGCAGTCCGGGATATGCTCTACAATGTGGAGAACCTCAGGAAGCGTCCAGGCGCGGAGGATTAGACAGCAGCGTTAGACGCCCGCAATGGACTCGTAGTGCTCACTCCCAAGCGCGGGGCCGATATACAAAGACAGAAAGTGAAGCGCGACGCGTGCGACTCCAGAACGTGCATGAACTGTCATCATCCTAACAGTCGCCCCCAGACTACGCCTCAGCAACGGACGAAGTCGCGACATTTCGGACGGGGCTCCTAATGAACTTTGCCGAGGCTCGTGATACAGAAGTCGCCTCGAGTCAAGCATGTCAGCACCGGACATTAAACGCGAGATGGGCAAGATGGGTGGGCTGCGTGGAACGTGGGTCTAGTACAGGTCGATTTCTAAGAAGGACAGCCCGGCCGGCGATGGCGTAGATCGACAGCAAGCAGCCGACTTTTTTCTTTCCAAGCAGAAATCTCCCAACGTCTGACATGTGTTGCATTCGCAAATAAGGTGTGCTTGCTCTCTTCCTTACTACCTCCAGACGTGCTGCCCTCATTTTGATACCGCATTGCATATATATTGACTGCGACGCATAGTTGAGCACGATCTGCATCTCGAAAACCCCACCACGCCTCGGCTCGCCGTCATCCCCCAAATATCGCGGAACCTCCGAAGCTAGAAGACGACGCCCACTAATCGCAAACCCGCTGCGGCAACGTCAAAAGCGTTTTTCCAGCTCCTTCTCCGTCACTTGGTCCCTCCCACATAAGGCACCATCTGCACCGCTCGCACTCCGTTGCTAAACCTCCACATCGCATCCCACCATCCACACACGACCCACACGCCCGCAACCACATCTTGCACGCGACACGCGAAACTTTCGCACACGCCGCCAAAGTGTTCGCATCAATCTTCCGAAGGGCCTCCTCCCCCCGCAACCTATCCTTATTCTCCGTCCCCATCGCTGCCGCGGCATCGCATAATCAGCGCGTCTCACCTGTAGCGGGGCTTTCGACTGCTTCAACCTTTGCAAAAGTACAGTCGCGAAACATGCATTCAAAACTAGTCAGTAAGTGGCATCCTAAAAATTCCTGGCACGGATAGTGCTAACAACATGCAGTTATTGGGTATGTTCCGCGATCAATGGCGCGACGGAGTCGATCTCGAGAATAATGCTAACATACACAGCTCGGGGCCAGCAGGCCACACTGCAGCTATCTATGCCGCGCGAGCGGATCTGAACCGTAAGACACCGCCTCGCAATCACTTCGACGAGATGCTAATCGTGTGCAGCCGTCATGTACGAGGGTTTCATGGCTCTCGGCATCGCCGCAGGTGGTCAATTGACCACAACAGACGAAGTCGAGAACTTCCCCGGTTTCGTCAAGATCGGAGGCGGCAAGCTCATGGTCAGTAACAGCACGCGATGGTTATGCGCCAACTGGTACTAACAGCATACAGGAGCAAATGCGCGAACAATCCGAAGCCTGCGGCACCGAAATCATCTCCCAGACCGTCGCAAAGGTCGACCTGAAAGCGCGCCCCTTCAAGTACTGGTTACACCCCATGGGCGACGAGGAGGAGATTGAGGAGGAGATACACACTGCCGATGCTTTGATCATCGCGACTGGCGCAAAAGCCAGGAGATTAGATCTCAAGGGCGAAGACAAGTACTGGGGCAACGGTGTCTCCGCATGCGCTGTATGCGACGGTTCCCTTCCCATGTTCCGCGACCAGCCATTGGTCGTAATCGGAGGCGGTGACTCCGCAGTAGAGGAGGCTCTATACCTCACGAAGAAGGCGTCAAAGGTTACCGTACTCGTACGAAGGGACCAGCTCCGCGCGAGCCGAACGAACGCCCGCCGGTTGACAACGCACCCCAAGATCGAGATTATGTACAACACCAGCGCAAGCGAGATCAAGGGCGAGGACAAGAAGAACGGTCTGATGACACAACTAGTGGTCAAGAACAACGTCACAAAGGAGGAGCAGACCCTCGACGCAAAGGGTCTCTTCTACGCCGTCGGCCACGACCCCGCTACCGAGCTGTTTAAGGGTCAGCTCGACATGGACGAGGACGGCTACCTGATCACCAAGCCCGGAGAGGGTCTCACAAGCGTCGAGGGTGTCTTCGCAGCTGGTGACGTCCAGGACAAGCGGTACCGCCAGGCCATCACCAGTGCAGGATCCGGCTGTGTTGCCGCTCTCGAGGCGGAGAAGTGGCTCGCCGAGCAAGACGACAGCGTCGGCAACGAGCTCGAGACGGAGAACCAGGCTGAGAAGTCGCAAACAAACGGCGTCGTCCCCGAGTACCGCTCCAACCCTCTTCTATAGACGAAACACGCACCACAACATCACCATCACAAACTTGGACCATTTTGGACCATTTCTGGAATAACTCGCATGAAAGGGCATGGGCGTCTCATTGTTTAGCGCATATATGGAAGGCACTGGCACCATGTATAGACCTTCGGCAAAAGGCGGTGCATTTGACATAGAATCTTGAGCGGTTGATTTAGGGTTTTAGATAGAGCAGACACCTGGCAATGAATGTCTTCAACTGATGTATATGGACCGCGTACCGTTTATTGCGACTATTTCTGCTCCAACATGACCATCTTGGTGCCAACGACATCCTACATGATGGAACAGCGCATCAGGTGCATCCTTGATGAAGTGCACATTGGAAGGCTGGACAACCGCACCAATTGCCGCGGGGTTGGCGACGAGCTATCAGGGCTAGCGAGACGCTGTGAGACTTCCGATTGCGGCGGATGATGAGCAAGGTAGATAGCGCCTAGGTTGATGAGCATCAACGACCAAGGCCACTGGCTTTGAGGAGGTTGAGCGCACTCTCGAAGGCTTTGACTACATTGATGTCTGCGGCATATTAGTCGAAAAGTAGGAAAGGAAGTATAGGCCAGCATACAATGATTCCGCTTTTGCTCCAGTTCCGCTTCTTCGTGCTGAACGTATGTAGAGCGTGTGCGAAGCCTGAGGCACGTTGTTAGTAGGTCACGCGGCTTTCAGAAGGCATGTTTACCTTGCGTAGGTCCGCTCCGTCTCATGCTCATTCCCTGACGAGGCCCAGATGCGGAAGTACTAACAACTTCATCAGTAACTCGGGCAGAAGTAGAGAAGAGGCAGCTGTACATTCATGAGATTCTCCCACTCTTGCATTAGTAGGTCCTCTTGGTTGTGGCATGTCTTCATGGCATCGTGGTACCGCGCCTCTAGGTCTTCCCAATCAAAATCGACAATTTTTTCTGCAGGGTCACTCTCTTCGTCTTCTGACTGTTGTTCAGCGGCAGCATCTGCTTCGTCGTCGACCTCGTCTTTTGTGCGCTGTGCTGAGGATGGCCGCTCTGTCTCATCTGAATGCATGCGTCTCATTGGCGGTCGTACAGTCTGCGCCTCTTGACTGGGTGGCGGCTCCGATTTGGCAGCTGGGGCAGTATCCATTGCAGTGGTATTTGTTAACTGGGTCAGCAGTGGAGGAGAAGAGGGGTATGTCGACGAGATGTGAGAGGGGAGGGATGATTCGGGTTCGTGGTCCGGAGTCCTGCTCATTTGCGATGCCTTTGGTCAGTGCTGTAGGTAAGTAGAGTGATCGCGAGCGCGTCTCATCGTCATCAGAAAGACATTCGACGCGAAATATCAGTTCTATCAGATCGAACGCAGTACTCGAAAAGGTAAATTGAGGTTCACTCACGCATACCACGTGCGTTAGCGCGATCCGAATTGGTCAGTCGCGGCATGACGTTGGAAGGAGCGTCTGACTCGCGAAATCGCGCCTCTGCCTCCATCACACAACCTCTTCAACCACCAGCCTCTGGATGCCTTGCTTATGCTTCACGACAGAGGAGAGCGCTAACATTCACGGAGCCTAGACATTCACCGGAAACCCCACTGACGGATTCCATGGCTACATAGGCACTCGCCAACCGCCTCGACGAATCACTCCCACCATGGTCTCGCTGCACCTTCCAGACCTACCACTCCACGGCATTTCTGCAGGCGACATCACATAACATAATCTCTACTCAAAATGGAGTGCGACATCTGCGGGAGAGACGGCAGCCTGAGCCAGCCTCTCCACTGCATGACCTGCGCGCGCTCATACCTCGAACAGCCCCGCATCCAACTCGCAAAGACGCTGATAGACCGCGATGCCGTTGCGAAACACGTCACAGCTATCATCAACGGCTCGGAAGACAAGGCCATCCAGCATGTTTCTCTCACCGACTCGAAAGGCGGGCTCTTGGTCGACAGGCAAGAGTGTACGAACAATCTAAACTGGGAGCGGACGAAAGCAGAAACGGCAGAGATACAGGACCGACTAGGCATGATCTCAGAGCATGCCGACCAGCTCCGACGGCAGATGGAGGATACCAGGAAGCAGCTTGAAGCGAAGCGAGCGGCGAACGCGCAACGCAAGTCAGACCTCTCGTCCGCCACATACGGCATCGAATCGCGGCGGGCGAACGAGTTGGACAAGGTGCAGCAGAGGGTCAAGCGATCGGACTACAACGCGGACAAGATGCACCACGATACCATAGATCTGCGCATGCAGCTGTGCACGACTGCTGCGAGGCTTGCGGGACTCAAGATGCAGCGGCGAAAGACAAGGGACGGCGGTATCAAAGAAGTCTACAATATTGGGCCCGGCACGCGTTTGCGGATATACGATCTTCGAGATCTGAATGGTATGTCTAGGCTATACCTGTCGAGGCGATTTGCTAACTCTGGAACAGATGTGACGCCTGATGGCCTATCTGCCTCACTGGCTGCCGTGGCCCAGCTCGTCGTTCGAGTCGCTGCGTACCTGGGCATCCGTCTCCCAGCCGAAATCACACTCCCCCATGCCGATTACCCTCAACCTACAATCTTCAGTCCAGCATCCTCTTACCAGGGCAAGAAAGTACCTTTCCCCGGTTCGACACCCTCACATTCGTCCAGCGCCAGTCCGGAAGCGTCCCGAACGCTTGAGACGCGTATCCATCTTCCGAAGCCGCGCGCGTTATTCGTCGACCGCCCTTTGAGTCACCTCTGCGCCGAAGATCCTCCTGCATACTCGTCCTTTATTGAAGGCGTGTCTCTGCTTGCGTACAATGTGGCCTGGCTATGTCGAACCCAGGGCATGAAAGACAGCTTCAAACAGTGGGAGGATACTTGTTCGATCGGTCGCAATCTGTTCCGACTACTGATCACGCAAGAAACATACAATCCCCAACGCCTCGAGAATCCATTGGACAAAGATATCACCACTTCCAGGTCTTCCAGATCGATCCTCCGCAAGTCACCTGTAGGCTTTGGGCAGCTTTCACACGCTACTTCACATTCCTTCCTAGGCATGGCCGAGAACGCACAGTACATCAGCGGATGGGGCTTGTCGCCAACTAAGATTATCGACGAGCTGAGGGGATACCTGTTGGCTGAGCAGCAGGCGCAAGAATGGGACGTGGTGAACCAGAAAGAATGGGAAGACATGGAGAACTTGATCGCGGAAGACCCCATTCTTGTTGGTGAGAAACGGCGAGGTAACACCGGTCTCGACGATGGGCGTAGCTACCTCACGTCGACTACGAGGAACGGAAAGTCTTCACCATCACAGACGGGACATGTGTTCCATAGCGAGCAGACAGCGCGAAAGAAAGGCATAAGTGGATATGTGAAGCTTAAGAGCCGGCCAGAGGAGGATGCATACTAAGCATCACCATTATACCCCCAAGATACCCATAGACGTTTGCGCCCTTCATAGACCTCTCTCCACTTCAATCAGATTACGATGCAAATCACTTGCCATTGAGCGCCAACGTCAAATTGTGCTTACGTATCCAAGAACTCTATAAAGCATCTCGCCCGAACAACCTGCTGGACTTGGTAGGACTCGCAGCGCGATGTGTAATCGAAAAGCTGCCAAGGCCGTCACAAGGCGGGTCGGAGAATACTATGACACCATCTCCGCTTGCTCACGAAACCAACGCGCGCTTTGGGCCGAGCTGTGTATGCCACGGTTTGAGCAATCGCCGCCTGATTAATCTGCTGCTGAGAAATGTCAGACGTCCAACGCGGCCTGTTGGGTATAAGATGGCAGGAGCCATGGAGATGGTTCTCCCTTGCTTTCCATCTCCACTTTGACAGGAAATTCTGCAAGAAAGAATTATTCTGCATTCGCGCCATCACGGTCAACCGCACATGCACCACCGATAGAAAGCGCGCTAGGATTTGTCGCTAGAACAATAATTTACCTATAGGCGTCAACACCTCGGAGGGCCTAGAATTTAGAAAGAAGTTTGTCCTCTCGCTGCATTTCGAGGTTCAAGTTCCTTCGTACCATCACGTCAACTCCGCCCGCCGTTCGAAGAGTACTCAGAAGATCAAGATGACGCTGCCCGACCACCCTATCGACACCCCGCCACGCGCGCCGTCACCAGTCCACGGATTCGGCACGCTCGCCGTGCATGCCGGAAGCCCTCATGACCCCGTCACCGGAGCTGTCATTGAAGCCGTAAGTATTTCAGGCGCATGTCTCACAAACAAACGGCTAATCCAATCAGATTTCCCTCTCGACAACATTCGCGCAAACCGCCGTTGGAAAGCCCATAGGCGAGTATGAGTACTCGCGCTCCTCGAACCCAAACCGGTACGCATCCGCGACACCATTGAGATATTCAAAACTAATGCGCCCGCAGAGACAACTTTGAAAAGGCAGTCGCAGCCCTCGAACACGCCCGCTATGCGCTCGCGTTCTCGTCCGGTTCCGCCACCACAGCCAACATCCTGCAATCGCTCGCCGCAGGCTCACACGTCGTGTCCGTTTCAGACGTCTACGGCGGAACGCACCGCTACTTCACCAAGGTCGCCCTGACACACGATGTCAAAGTCACCTTCAGCCCGAGCATCGAGATCGACATCGCTGAGCTCATCCGCCCCAACACGAAGCTCATCTGGATCGAGTCGCCGTCGAACCCTACGCTGACGCTTGTGGACATCCGCAAGATCTCCACGATTGCGCATCAGCATGGCATCATGGTGGTTGTCGACAACACCTTCATGAGCCCGTACGTTCAGAACCCGCTGGACCACGGCGCGGATATCGTGGTGCACTCCGTCACCAAGTACATCAACGGCCACTCTGACGTCGTCATGGGTGCCGCGGCCTTCAACTCCGATGAGCTATACGAGCGTCTGTCTTTCCTCCAGAACGCCATTGGTGCCGTTCCCTCGGCCTTTGACTGCTGGCTCGCACACCGCGGTCTCAAGACCCTGCATCTCCGCGCGAGGGAAGCAACCAAGAACGCTACGGGTGTCGCAAAGGCTCTCGAGGCCTCGTCACACGTCGTTTCCGTCAACTACCCCGGTCTTCCCTCCCACCCACAACACCACATTGCGCTGAAGCAGCACCGTGACGGAATGGGTGGCGGCATGCTTTCCTTCCGTATCCAGGGCGGTCACGCAGCTGCAGAGCGTTTCTGCCAAGCGACCAAGATCTTCACACTGGCTGAGTCGCTGGGTGGAGTCGAATCGCTCGTCGAGGTACCCAGCGCCATGACGCACGGCGGTATCCCCAAGGAGCAGCGCGAGGCAGCGGGTGTCTTTGACGACCTCGTCCGCATCAGCTGTGGTGTTGAGGATGAGGCGGATCTTGTTGCCGATGTTAAGCGTGCGCTTGAAGAGGCCGTTGTTGGTCCTAAAATTACTAACGGAAAGGCTTCCAACAACGCTGCGCCGGTTGCTCAGTAAATCTTGCTCTGAGTACCGTGGGGGTGTACCAGGTGGAGAAAAGTAGCTTTTATGAGCACATATGGATAGATGGCGTTTTTGTTCGGTATGGGCTTATGACCCTTATGATGGATATGATATCAGAGATACTCTCAATCGAAAAGTGTGGTGTCGTAGTAAGACAGGGAATTATCGAGGTTGTCTATCTTTGTGTATCTGTACTTTCCAAAGGCAAATTGCGCAAGCTGTGACTGGTTTGTCGTCCGCCCATGGTTACCACAGAACCAGGGTAAGGGAGCCAAAGTATGGCTGCGGCCAAGTGGTGAGTCAAAGGAGAGTATATCTTGTAACTGATGTCCATCTCTATTTTTTGCACGACAGTCAATCCCAGCCCAGACGAAGTGATCGTAACAGCAAGGATCAGTACCCTCAAAGCCATGTTTCCTCCCCCAATCTCACTTGAAGAAGTGCGCTGCCTGTTCCAGCAGCTTTTGGCACGCAACCACGACAGCCCGAATATTCACGCACACCCCGTATTCATCTCCTTCGATATCGCACACGGAAACCCCAAACGCTTCAGCGCTATCGGCGCATCCACACTCGACACGAGGAGTCTCACAACTTCACACTTCTCAACGCCGATGCACCATACTCACCCGCCCCTCCACACAGAGACTTTCGACTTCCGGTACGGTCGAGTAGGCGTAAATAGAAAGCAATCGCGGGCCTTGTTCCATGGCCAAGTGCACCAAGTGCGATGGAGCGAGCGCGCTGCCGTTCTCAACCACATCTTTTCTCACTACGTCAATGGAGATAGGGAGCCGTGCTGTAATGCGCGCAATCTACCTCTGTATGACTCATCGAAAGTCAATGACTCAAACGAACAGCGACTGCCGATTATCCTTGTTGGCCACGACATCCCTTCGGATCTTCTCTCGTTGAACAAGGCGGGTGTCAGCATAAATGACATAGCCACCGTGACCGCGATCATCGACACGCAGAAGCTTGCTCGCGAGATGTACAAGACTGACGATCCTGGATGGAATGTATCGCTCCGAACGCTATGTCGCCTGGTCGGTATGATACCTAGGAAGTTGCACGATTGCGGGAACGATGCTGCGTGGACGCTACTTGTGCTTTTTAGTCTCGCTGCGAAGCTGATTAGCGAGGATGACGCAGGGAGACAAATACTAGAGGAGGTTATAAGAGAAGGTACACGCGATAGTAAGACGAGGAAGCAAAGGGACAAGGGAAGTAGAGTGAAGAATAAAGAAGATCAGGCGGACGACTGGGCAGACAATCTCGTTGTTGAAGTTCCTTGAGTCGCGCTAGGACTGAGCTTCTCAGGCGTCAAGCTCATCGTTCAAGCTTCGTGTTTATTTGGAGGGACTTGTCCGATGATATGAATATAGAAGTCTGAATGACTGCATGAACATGACTGCATTACGAACAACTCTCGACAGGTATTGCCGTGCCTCGTCTGCTCCACCCGCCAATCAATTACAGGAACAGAAACGTCGCGACCTCTCTACACGCCAACGCAAACATTGGTCTCTGCCCACATGCTTTGACAGTTCGATCCAACGCCAGTGTTCCACTTGACAAAGTTCGCCAAGGTGATCTTCTCATAGCTGATGATCTGTTGGCAAGTGTCGCCCTTGGAGACGTAGTGGAACTTCCTGCAGTTGGAGACCATGCCAGGCTGGGTAGGTTGAGGGGTCTGGATGCCGTTACCGGCAGAGGTGGTGGTGGTTGGCTTCTTGGTAGTAGTTGTGGCCGGGGTACCTCCGATAACACCAACGCAGACATTGACCTCAGCCCACAAGCCAGAACAGTCGTTATTCACACTAGGGTTCCACTTGGCAAAGTCAGTGAGGGCGATCTTCTGGCTGCTGAGCACTTGGCTGCAGCTAGAACCCTTAGGCACGTAGTAGAACTTGTTGCAGTTAGAGACCATTCCGGGTTGGGTTGGCTGAGGTGTCTGAATGCCGTTTCCTGTGGATGTAGTGGTCGACGGTTTGGCGGTCGTGACGGGGGTCCCTCCACCAATGACGCCAACACAGACGTTCACTTCGGCCCACAGACCGGAACAGTCGTTGTTCACACTGGGGTTCCACTTGGCAAAGTCGCCGAGGCTGATCTTCTGACTGTCGAGCACTTGGCCGCAGTTGGTGCCCTTCTCGACGTAGTAGAACTTGTTACAGTTGGATACCATTCCAGGCTGCGTGGGCATGGGAGTGGCAACACCATTGCCGGCCGTGGTGGTGGTACTGGCCTTGGTAGTCGTAGAGGAAGTGGTGGGCCTCGTAGCAGAAGTGGTGGTGGTGGCCGGCTTAGTGGTTGCTGACGTGGTGGTGGTTACAGGAGTCGAAGTTGTGATCGGGTCGTCGGTAACAGTGCCAATCACACAGTCTAGTTGTCGGTGTAGGAAGTTAGCGTATACATCACATGCAGTTCGTAGGGAGAATCTTACACTCATTGCTGGTGTCGAGGTTGGGGCAGGTGATACCGGGGTTCAGATTCTTGAGATCGTCGACAGACAGTCCCCAACTGGATGCAAAACTCTCGCACGTCGCACCGCTGTCAGCTGTGGTAGAGAATCCACAGTCAACGCCCCGGCGAAGATGAGCGGGCCATGCCAGGGCCGATCCCGTGAGGAAACCGGCAGCAAGTAGACGTGTAAGTTGCATCTTTGGGAGTTTGCAGTATTACAGAAAGGTTGTAGAAACGAGTGTGGAATGGAGCAAGCTCGATGTCTTGATGGCAAGATGGGAACTCAACGACGCTCTATGCCATCTTTCTTATACCTTTCATCGCAGTTCCCCATCTTCTTTACTTGACTCTTCGTGTTCTAGCGTTCGAACAATTAGGCGGCAGACCAGGCGGGTCACTGGTGTTGGAAGCGGCCTGCATAGTTCATTCAGGAACCTCGGATGAGCTGACAACGGGGCGTAAGAGAAGCAATTGACGATGCCACTAGCGCAG